CCTGTACAAGACTTTTTAATAACTTTAAACTTGCTAACTTGATGAAGGACAGAATTAAGCTTTGTTGTTGTAGTTAATGCAGTAGTGGCATAATCAGTAGGATCAAAGAGAACTGAGAGATGCTTTTTATCTTTACTGACAGCAGAAAACAAGTGAGCCATTGCTTCAATTTCAGCTTCATGAGTAACTGCTTCCCATTGCTCACTAAGCAATCCTTTAGCAAAGGGGCGAATACAGCTGACATCAGATATGATGGTACTGTTAGCCTTAGGATCCCAGGGTAACTTCATAAGAGAATTCTTGAAACTACTCTTCCCAACACCTGCTGTACCCAGAAAAAGAACACGTGAATAAGCAACATTTACCACTTCTCCTTCTGATAGAACTCTTCTATATGCAGTGTCTTGAATACAAAACAAATAATGAAAGGCTTATTATTAATAGATTCACCTCTCTATAAAATAAATGTAAATTTTTGATCACAAATGAACAAAAAAATTAAAAATAGAAAGGACAATAGATACATCCAAAATTAGCACTTACTTCCTATTGTGTTGTAAATAAGAGTTTGTGTATTACAGATGAATGAATGAAATTAAAGATAGAAAGGACAATAGATACACATGTAAGCAATCGTCCGAAATTAAAATAGATTAGACTTACTCTCTATTGTGTTGTAAATAAGAGTTTGTGGATCACAGATGAATGAATGAAATTAAAAATAGAAAGGACAATAAATTCACATGTAAACAATCGTCCGAAATTAAAATAGATTAGTACTTACTTCCTATTGTGTTGTAAATAAGAGTTTGTGTATCACAGATGAATGAATGAAATTAAAAATAGAAAGGACAATAGATACACATGTAAACAATCATCCAAAATTAAAATAGATTAGTACTTACTTTCTATTGTGTTGTAAATAAGAGTTTGTGTATGACAGATGAATGAATGAAATTAAAGATAGAAAGGACAATAGATATACATGTAAACAATCGTCTGAAATTAAAATAGATTAGTACTTACTTTCTATTGTGTTGTAAATAAGAGTTTGTGTATCACAGATGAATGAATGAAATTAAAAATAGAAAGGACAATAGATACACATGTAAACAATCATCCAAAATTAAAATAGATTAGTACTTACTTTCTATTGTGTTGTAAATAAGAGTTTGTGTATCACAGATGAATGAATGAAATTAAAAATAGAAAGGACAATAGATACACATGTAAACAATCATCAAAAATTAAAATAGATTAGTACTTACTGCCTATTGTGTTGTAAATAAGAGTTTGTGGATCACAGATGAATGAATGAAATTAAAAATAGAAAGGACAATAGATACACATGTAAACAAATCATCAAAAATTAAAATAGATTAGTACTTACTTCCTATTGTGTTGTAAATAAGAGTTTGTGTATCACAGATGAATGAATGAAATTAAAAATAGAAAGGACAATAGATACACATGTAAGCAATCATCAAAAATTAAAATAGATTAGTACTTACTTCCTATTGTGTTGTAAATAAGAGTTTGTGTATCACAGATGGATGAATGAAATTAAAGATAGAAAGGACAACAGATACACATGTAAACAATCATCAAAAATTAAAATAGATTAGTACTTACTGCCTATTGTGTTGTAAATAAGAGTTTGTGCATCACAGATGAATGAATGAAATTAAAGATAGAAAGGACAATAGATACACATGTAAACAATCATCAAAAATTAAAATAGATTAGTACTTACTGCCTATTGTGTTGTAAATAAGAGTTTGTGTATCACAGAAGAATGAATGAAGTTAAAGATAGAAAAGACAATAAATACACATGTAAACAATCGTCCGAAATTAAAATAGATTAGTACTTACCTCCTATTGTGTTGTAAATAAGAGTTTGTGTATGACAGATGAATGAATGAAATTAAAGATAGAAAGGACAATAGATATACATGTAAACAATCGTCTGAAATTAAAATAGATTAGTACTTACTCTCTATTGTGTTGTAAATAAGAGTTTTTGTATCACAGATGAATGAATGAAATTAAAAATAGAAAGGACAATAGATACACATGTAAACAATTGTCCAAAATTAAAATAGATTAGTACTTACCCACTATTGTGTTGTAAATAAGAGTTTGCGTATCACAGATGAATGAATGAAATTAAAGATAGAAAGGACAATAGATATACATGTAAACAATCGTCCGAAATTAAAATAGATTAGTACTTACTTCCTATTGTGTTGTAAATAAGAGTTTGTGTATCACAGATGAATAAATGAAATTAAAAATAGAAAGGACAATAAATACACATGTAAACAATTGTCCAAAATTAAAATAGATTAGTACTTACTTTCTATTGTGTTGTAAATAAGAGTTTGTGTATCACAGATGAATGAATGAAATTAAAGATAGAAAGGACAATAGATACACATGTAAACAATCGTCCCAAATTAAAATAGATTAGTACTAC